TAGGAGATATAGTAATGGTATCACTTTAGTGGATATTTATTGCTTTTTCAGGCATCTCACGTCCATTCTCCCTTTTTTGTGTGTGTGTAACAGTGCCTCGGTTTCCTTTGAGGAATTAATTCTTTTCCGTATCTTGATGGACTAGCCACCAAGAGCCTCTGATCTCCCAAGGCTAAGCAGTAGACACCTGCCCAAACTGGGCCAAATGGACTCTCTTTTCCAAGACTGATTCTTGAGTGAGGAAATGTGAGATTAGAAAAAAAAAAGTTAATTTTTTTAACGTCCATGGAGCCCTAAAGGCATTCTTTCAGAATTCTACGAATTCTTGCTATATACACCCTAGAGCATCTCTGACAGGGCAGGGACTGCGCTGTGTTCATCAAAATATTTTCACTTTCTTCCTGGGCACATACAAAATAACAGGAGTAACCGTGTCGCTGACAGACCTGACTCCTAAAAAGTCCCACGTGATCTTCCTCACTTCCTCTTTCTGTGCAGCTGGGAGCAAAGTTCTCCAATGCAGTGAGCTGAACAATGGAGAAGCCTAGACCCCAGCCCCACCGCTTGGAAGGCAACTCCCCAGGGAAGCCTCTGAACCCACATCTGACTATGACAAGATGAAGTAATGAATTTCTGTTGTGGTAAGTCACTGAAATTTAAGGGTTTGTTTGATTGTTTTTTAACAGAAGCTAATAGGTGTTACCCGAATATATTATCCTTTTTTGGAGACTGATTTTCCAGCCTTCCTTTCAGTGTTGATATCCTTCCAACAAATTCCTTTCCTGCTTAAGTTAGCCAGCGTCTACTTCTGTTGCTTTCAGCCATAGTCCCTGATGGATCTGTTGCTTAGTAATTATTTGAATACCCAGATAAAGAATCATGACCAATGAGATTAAACCATGTTCTATCTCACTTGAGGCTGTAGACATTGATTGTATCAACACTTCAGAAGTCAACAATTATATACTTAGTATTGACTAACATTTAAGAGGCACAAAGTAAGTATTAGTTACAGATTCTGTCTATTTAACATTTTAAAACATTCACTCAAGCTCCTTTATTCTAGACACTCTGCTAGGCATCACAGATATAAAGATGAATGAGAACTGGTCCTTGCCTCTGAAGAGTTCATGGTCCAGTGCTATTGAGAAGCTCCCAGTGTGGCAGGGGAGACCAAGACAAGGACACGTGCAGCACCAGTGTTACCACTCACATGAGGTCAAACCAGAATGTAAGGTGGATGAGGTTCTGTCCTTGGCCCTTTTCACTTTATATAATCTTCCTGGGTGACTCATCTCTTCTTTCATGGTTGTGACTACCACTCATGACTCTCAAATCTATCATCTCTAATCCCTGCTTCTCCACTGAGTTCCAGACCTATATTTTTAATTGTCAGCAAGGCATCTCCACCGTGGTGTCCCACAGGCCTCCCACACTGCACATGTCAGCAACCAAACTCGTTCTCCTGACTCTTCAACCTGCTTCCCAACCTGCGTCCTCTGTCTGGGTTGACAAAACAGTTGGTTACCCAGTTGGCCAGAAACAATGGGGTCCTTTTGACTCATCCCTCTCTCTCTTGTGTTTTTAATTAGTCGTCAAGATGCATCACTTCCATCTCAGAAATTTTTCTGTGTTGTCTCTTCCCAGTTCATCACTCTGGTTCATAATCTCGTACCGTCTCACCCTGCAGCAGCCCCGTAACCGATCCCTCTGTTCTAACCCTCCTCTCTAACAAGAGACTACCCTGTCCTAATTGTTCTGACCCTGAGATCTCATTTCATTCCTCTACGAAGGCTTCTTCACTGGCTCCCCAAAGCCTTCAGAGGAAGTGAAACGTCTTAGTCTGACATATAGGACACTTCATAATCTTGCTCCATCAACTTTTCCATCTTCACCTTTGTATCATGAGAAAACTGAATTCTTCTTCATTTGGCATCTGATTTATCCCTTTAACTTATCTTTCCTTATTACTTGGTCATCTGAAATGCCAACCTGTTTTCTCCTCCCCGTGTTGTGACCATCCTCCAAGAGGAGCTAAAGTTTCAACTCCTTCAAGCCTCCATCAGTAGCTTCTTCTCATTCTTGTGGAATTAGTCCTTTTAACCCTGACTGACTGCAGAAGACCATAGTTTACTCCCTCTGACTTCCTAGTGAGTGTGCACCACCCCGCCTGTTCTCGTAATCAACCTGTAACCCCTTTAACTCTGTCCTAAGGACTGAATTCCTGGGATGGTCAGTTTCTCTGTTATCAAGGTAGTCACATCACTCATGTTCATTTGCTTTTTAATTTGAGAGTTTTAAAAGTGAAATAAAGCTCAAAAATGACTTAATTGAATACCTTTTCCTATACACAAATGCCTGATACAGTAACTCATAAGAAATTATCTACTTTCTTAAGGTCATCAAAATATCACCACTCTTATTGCATCTTTGGAGAACACTTAGTGCATCTTTAGAATCTCCCCAGCTGTTAACAGTTCTTTCTTTATCCAGAGATGGACTCCCTCCCCTTGTAACTTCTACTTCTGGTCCTAGTTTTATCTGGCCACACAGTCAGTTTCCAGTCCCTCCTCTATACAATTTCATTTCAGGTACCTGGGGACACTTCCCAAGCTCCCTTCCCAAGTCCTCCTTCACTACACCAAATTCTCCCAGTTCCCTCAACCATTCCTCATACTAAGTCCAATGCCTGGACCAGTGGCTCACAGAGGTTGTACCTCCCAGACTGTGGACCCAGTGATCTTCCCATGAGGTCTGTATCTCCTGGAGGCTGACTTCAGGAATCAAGTTGCTCTTCTAGTCTCACACAGAAAGAATACTCAACAAATTAGCCGGCAGAATATAAAAACCAAATAATTAGAATTCGTAAAACTGTAACAGTATTTTGAAAAATTCCATAAAGGGGCACCAAGACAAAGACGACTCAAAACGTTGCGTTTAGAAAGTAAATATAGTGCTTTCTGCACCCAGAAAATTCTCACAGATTTCAAACTAACCCCTTTAATGAACACAACTAGTATTGCCCTAAAAAGCTTACAAGGCAAATTGACCATGCTTTGAACATTTCTAATTAACGTAGAACAGAGCAGAATTGTATGATTCTCCTCCCCAAGACTCCTGGCAGGTATCTGTTTATCTCACAGATATGCTGCTTCCACTGTGATGAGCTGATTTGTAGCGTCTCCACTTTCCCTTTATGATTCTTTTTAGAGTCACTCTGATTTCCATTATTTTCTCCCTTCATTGTTGACCTTTTTCATTCGAGCTTTCCTTTCACCCGAGCTTTCCTTTCACCCACCTTTCTGTCCTGAGGAGAGCGCCTTTGCCCAGGTTGCTTTGTACATTTCGATCCAGAGAAACGCCCTTCAGATACTTCGGCGCATTCGCAGATGACAAGGCTGTCGCTGTGTTTATTCTCCCCACATTTGCAGAACTGGGACCAAACTATTGAAAGTGGTTTTTACCTGGCCTCCTTTTCCTCCACAGGCAATTGCTTTCTCTGCAAATGGCTGCACTGGCCAAATAACTGTGTTCACAATTAGCTAATTGCAGGCTCAATGGACCACTTGTTCCTCCAAACTTGGCCATGGGAGTTGTGCGATTAGGCAGAAATTTATCTTTTTATTCCCTTCTGATTTAGAGAGTCATAGCAGATTCCAAATCTAATTGCCGTGTATTCTTCTACAATGTCAATATAAACCTTTTTACATTTTTATTTCCTTTTGAATATTTGTCATATTTCCCATTCTTTTACAAATCACAGCAGTTATGCTTTATATATTGAACTCAAGAAATATGGATTTGAATTAAGTCAGCCCTCTAATAAGGCCCAACTATTATTATTTAAAGGGTTAATCAGTAATAGCTAATTATTACTTTCATCCATTTTGTAAACTAAAAAATTAAGGCAGCAGAACCGTTGGTTTGCCAAAGTCATGACAGAGTAAAACTAAAATTCCTAAGTAGCAAATTCCATTTTCCCTCTGGGCACTGAGTTTCCCACAGAGGGTATAAATTAACCTCATCTGCCTCTGAAAGAAAGCACCCTTAAATATTCTCCCAAATTGTTATTACCTGGTTTCTTGGACACTTCAAAAAATGTAATTTCTTTTGGAAAATGGCTTCAAGGGTTTACCTTTTCTCCTACAATGAATGTCCTTTCTTTTCTTAATTTCTGTACATTTTATTCTAATTTTCTTGTCCAACCAACAGCTACAGAGCACAAAATATGTACTCAATTTTCAGTTTCATACAAGGAAGTCACCTCCCACTGACGTTCCTCGAATCCACAAAAGAGAAAAGTAGCCAAAAGTAATGAGTTTTCATTTATGAAGTAATTAATATTCATAAGGATTAGATTATA